GTCACTCCCTCCCTCTGTCACCAGTCATCCCCTCACTCTGTCACCAGTCACCCCTTCCCTCCCTCACTCTGCCACTAGTCACCCCCTCTCCCTCCCTATGTCACTAGTCACCCCCACTTACTGTGTCTCCCCCTCACTCTGCCACCACTCAACCCCTCCCTCCCTCACTCTGCCACCAGGTACCCCCTCACTCTGCCACCTGTCACAACCTCCCACACTCTTCCACCTGTCACCTTCTCCCTCACACACTGTCACCTGTCACATATGCATTCACACAGACACTATATACAAAAAAAGCACATGTCATCCCGACATGCACAAGTGCATTCACACAGACTCAAATACAAACATGCATTGATACACAGGTCTTCACAATATACACATCCAAAGGAATGCTGTATTATGAGTTATATTTAACATTTATTTAATGCACATATATTTGGCCTTCAAAGGGCCTGGGATCTAATTTTGCCCGGGGGCCCCAAAGGCTCTCAGTCCGCCCCTGGATATCAGTTCCCAACGGACAATGTTTTGAGCATTTGGTACTTTTGCTGACCCTACTTCAGTCTTGTCTTTAGACAGGCATTACATTCACACGCTAGCAATCTTAAATAAACAATGTTAATCACACAGATTGTTAATGGCATATCGTAACTCATGGCAAATGTAACTGAAAAACTCTTCACATGTAATCACATGTGAGTAAAAAATATTAGATACAGGATGTATACTAACTGCTCCAATTTCAGTGCTTTCATAGAGAGTGCAATTTTATATGTTGGCACTTAGCAATTTTGATTCCTTGCTGTTCCATGGTTATCACTCGGCTTTAAAGCATAATTCTTTTAGATGGTCTTGTTGTGTTATCCATCGTGAGTGGATTTAATGTTGTATCACAACCATCTCTTGTTCTTAACAGTTTAACTGGTGATTACATATAAATGTTCATTTCCAACTCTTGCAATGGTCTTAAATTAATACCTAAAAATCTCTTTATTTTTTTATTTTATAGTGTGAATTAAATGTCTTAATTAGCTTCAACCTGAATATTCAGTTTAATAAGTGTGCACTGTTTGCATGCATATTGATGCATGGGAAATGTCATTAATTCCTTTAGGGTGTTAATTACTGGTTATTTCAAAACACATTATTTAACTATGAAAATCGTTAGGTATAATTTTTACTGTTTTCGTGAAACTATTGATTTGCAAGTGTGCCCTTTCTGCTAATTAATAGAATGATTAAGTCATTATGCGACTATATTTATTATTAATAGATATGTGACATGATCTGGCATACTATATGGTGTATGATGGCGCACATGGGTTTTTCTCCATTATGCATGCTCTGACACTAGGCAGCGTGAGTGCGCTCCACTCTTAGGGTGGCTCCAGTCCTCTCCTAATAGTGATATATGTTCCAGGAGAAGAACCAATGAGATAGAAACAGCACAGTTTTGTCTCCCCAGCAATTCTGTCTGCATATCAGTATTGGAAGAGGAACTGCAATAATTGTGGTAGGTGCAAATAGCAGCTGCTGCCTGGAACTTTGACTTTGACCAATGTTTTGCAATGTGGGGCATGTGACTGTAGCCCTAATCTTTTTTAACTGCAACCCTTAATATTGTGTAATATAAAAATACATAATTAGAATCATGCATTACAAGTATTCATATACCACCAAGATACTCTGCAACACTGTAAAATAGATCAGTAGGACAAACATGTATGACATACAGGAACCGTGGGTGAAGAGGGTTCTAGGGAAAATAATGCCATCAAGAGTTCTGCAGGCCAAGTGGTATATTAATTAATTTTAATCAATTTAAAAAATCCACATCATTAGTGGGTGTCTCCATGCATGACATGACAATCAGTTTGTCGGGAGGGTAACATAAATGCATTACTGTAACACCCACAAAGCTGCTTTGATGGCTACGTGGTCATCGTTGGAGATGAGGTAAGTATTTAACATAAAACAATATATAATGTATCACTCTGATAAATCATACATTTAAAGCATAAGTAGATTATAGAAGCTAAAAGTGAACCAATTTAATGTTACTCAGTTACTCATGAAAGTCTGCAATGATCGTGCATAAACCCACTGAGCTACCACCCTGCCATTTTTATGATCAACCCTTCATTTAACAAATGTGAGTGAGTAGATGTTTGCCGACTGTGGCACTTACGTTAACCTAAATTATTCTTTCACCTTCTGCACAACGCTTGAGTGTACAGAAAAACGGGTTACGTACGTGTTATCAGAGGTCAAAGGTGTCACAATATTAATTAAATTATCTCCTTACACACAACACACGATAGGTACTGTAGATCTTCCATGACAGCAAATTAACCTTATATTGTGACAGTACCCTTTATTTTGTGATTTTCATTAACTATTGAATCATTATTATCAGTACGCATCGTGATTTATTCATAATGTTACGAATTCAAAGCTGAAAGAACATTTTTCAATAACTACACTTTGGCCATTGTATACATATCATGTATACAATGGCTATTCATTATTACCTCTCCTTTATATTCCACAGCCTTGATACCAGCATACACAGGAACAAAACTACTTGCCAAGAGCACCTGTAAGAAACATAATAACAATGGCTATATTTTTTTTTATCTAATATGGTTTCTACAGTATAATGTTTTTTGTTTTTTTTTAATATGCTTCAAAATATATCTACTTTAGTCCATTTTCTAGGATGTAGCACGGAGAGAGATTAAGTAAAATATCATTAAAATAAATGAGCTGCCCTTAATTATGAATGTAAGAGAAATTTGCAATAAATATATAGTGCATCTTACATATTTTGCATGGATAAAAGCACCGTACGTTTTTAGTTCATACAAATATCCTTTAAACGAGCCCTTGAAGTAGTCTGCCTTGAGAATCAAGGTGATGAACCTAGCTAGTTTCTTGTTATATAAAAGACACACCAGAAAATAGTATTGAAATAGTAATATCCAAAGTCTTTCTTCCAGTTACTGCACTATACTTGTTAGCTGCTAAGAGAGATTTTCATTCTTTCCTAGAATAAGAGTGCAATTATGTATTGTTCGTTGGTTAATGGCAAAACTCAAAGAAAATACTTGACTTCTCATCCCTTGGTATTCTTATCTTTACTAACAATGCTGCTTGTCTCACATGTCCATAATGATAAGTAATGGCTTAACTCCTTCACTGACAAATTATTTTTTGTAAATAAATAAATACAATCTAAAGACTAACCTTTATTTGAAACATAGAATGATTAGCTTGTACATGAATTAGAGAATAAAAACTAATGTTGGGTGTAGAATGGTATTCAGAGATAGCTAAAAATAAAAGTTAATGAATGGTTATTCACTAAATCATGCACACGGTTCAGAATGGCAATAATCAGTGACCATAAGTCGGTTACCACCAGATTTGTGATTCAGGTATTTACTTGAAGAAAATTAGAGTTAAACATCTTGTTCTATGCAAGTCTTTGGTTTAAAGGGAATTTGCCACCACTTAGCTGTCTCTTTGCTCCACCCCCTGCGTTCTCCTTACAGAGGTGGGTGTTACACTTCCCCAGTTTCATCCGTGGCTCCTCATGTGGTCTTCTCTGATTTGCTCTGCTTTGAGAACTTCCCCAACAGGGCATACTTCCATCATAATGCCGGCTTCATTACCAGCGTCTGACCAGAGGGACGTCAGCATGCGCTGTGATTGCTATAGGTGAGAGGTGTTTTTTTTGCTCTCCCTATCAATCAGTTATTCGCATATAGTCTATGCCGAAGATATAATTGACAGGTGGGAGAAAAAAATATTTTCAATTAGGTTTTTCAACCAATCTATACATTTGCTAAGAAAACTGCTAGCACTACGTATAGATGAAATGTTATGATTGTTTTTAAAAGAGCAAAAGTAGTTCTGGGCAATACAAGTGCTCTTTAAAATAAGCATTGCACAACCATGTATCCCCATATAAAGTACAGGTGTGCATATTTATCAACACAATACATTTCTACCAGACCTTGCCCATTATTATCCACAAAATAAACTCACCTTTTTTTACTGATATCCTGCATATATGAGGTATAGTCATATAGCATATAGTGGCATATAAAAACAATAATACAAAATAAATAAATTAATAAATATACATATATTTATTTATTTTTTATTATTGTTGTTTTTAATTTTTTTCTTTTTTTCTTTATAAAACATAAGTATGGTATTTTCTCTACCCATGCACCACATAAACACAGCAAGGATTACAAAATACTAGATAACCGCTAGCCAGCTACTATTCCTATTAAATAAATATATATGTGGTCAAGAGTAAGATATAAAAAAGGACTAAACAACTTCTAGCTCGCTGGCATCACTTAAATAAATCAATATGGGGGTCAAAAGCAAGACTTCAAAAGGGCTAAATAACCACTAGTCAGCTGCTATTGCTGTTAAATAGATCAATAAGGGGTCAAGTATGTTGGGATGGAGTAAATAATAGTCTCTTCCCCTTTTTCCTGAAAATGCCTGAGCATTTTGATTAAGAGTTGAACTGCCTGTAACTGCTCAGCTGTCAATAATCTGCATCTCCTTAGTGGCAGCATGGCAATCATAACACAGTAATAGTAAAGGGACTCCCAGTGGTCTTCCCCTGTGTCCCTCATGAGAGTGTGGTATTTAAAAAATAAACAACTGGGAAGTCATGGCTATCTATCCCCTAAATGGTGGGCAACGGTATTAATATTGATAGTTAAGGTATTGATATTGACCAGGGGCTCTCTGTGTCCCTAACCATTTCTGGCAGGTGTGGGGATTCAGAAATTAGGCATCTAATCCGACACTGTCAGACAGTAACTTTGTTACCTTCATCTTTTGCTCTTTAAACAAATGTAATCTGATAAAACAAAGGAAAAAAACATATATGGTACATAATTTCTAAGCAACCTTTGAAGAAATAAAAAACGTCTGCGGAAAATTGGCTCAGTAGCACCTTCAGAATAGGGGCATAATTGATCAGATCTCATATATATTATATATACACATAGGATATCAAAGGAAAACTTTATTTGTCCTTCGAAAAATAAATAATTAACTATATTTTCAAACATAACAAAAGCTTACTGGTTCCTGGATTATACTACTATCCTGGTCTTAATAAGACAGACACATCTTTGTGCTTCAGCACCCAGCCTCTTTGGGGACTCACCACGTCATGTTTTTAAAACTGTCACCTAAAATTCATCTTGTCATCTACCGTATATACTCGAGTATAAGACGAGTTTTTCGGCACATTTTTTGTGCTGAAAAACCCCCACTCATCTTATACTCGAGTGAGTGTCTGTATAATGGCAACTTACATTGCCATAATACAGACAAGGACCGCCAGGCTCATTACAAGCCCTGGGGTCCTGTTGGGGGCTGGCAGGAAGCATTTACTTACCTTTCCTGCAGCTCCTGTCCGCTCCCTTCTCTCTCCTCCGGTCCGGTCAGCTCACCTGCAAGTCTCGCAAAAGCCGCGGGGTCAGAGCGTTGCCACGGGCAACCGTGGCAACGCTCCGCGCGGCACTCACACCGCGAGAATTGCAGGGGAGCTGACCGGACCGGAGGAGAGAGAAGGGAGCGGACAGGAGCTGCAGGAAAGGTAAGTAAACGCTTCCTGCCAGCCCCCTCCTACACAGTGCACACCACTGGACCACCAGGGAATGAGAGCCCCCGTCCCTGGCCAGCTAACAAGCAGGGAGGGGGGACGAAGAAAAATAACATAAAAATTTAAATTAAATAAAATAACATAAAAATAATATTAAAATAATAATAATATAAAAAAATAAATAAAAATGCCCACCCCCCACCAAGGCTCTGCATCATATACACATACACACACTGCATTCATACACACACACTGCACTCATACACACACACTGCACTCATACACACACTGCATTCATACACAAACTGCATTCGTACACACACACTGCATTCATTATATACACACACTGTAAATAAATGTTCAATTAATATAATTTTTTGGGGATCTAATTTTATTTAGAAATTTACCAGTAGCTGCTGCATTTCCCACCCTAGTCTTATACTCGAGTCAATAAGTTTTCCCATTTTTGGGGGGTAAAATTAGGGGTCTCGACTTATATTCGGTCGACTTACACTCGAGTATATACGGTATTTTTTAACAAAAATTAAGTAAAATTACTCTTTTGTAGGCTCACAAAATGTTTTCCCTAAAATGTGAAATAATGGTTTTCAATCCATACACCACAAGTTCTATTCACCACTTCATGCCACTTGAGGACAAGCCGAGTCAGTTGCTGAGCTAACAAAATTGCTCCCCTCCAAACATTAACTATAATATTTTAGATTGATTGAGATCTTTTCAGCAACTAGTCTACAATTGCTATATGCCAACATGTATTGATTTGGCAATCATAATGAGTGTGCAGCAGATTAAATAATTGACAATACCTGCAAAACACTGTAATTTGTTTTATGTAGCCCTCCGCTGTCTATGGACAAAGAACTATGCATAAAAGCTTTTCACGAAGCTGAAATTCTATCTGCACAATAGCTGAGATGTCAGGCAGTACAGAGAGTGTTCATAGTGTTGCTATTATTATATTTTTAAATATGCATTTGCTACACAACTGTGACCCAAAAGGCCAAAATCTATGCTGATATGACAAAACTGAGATAGCTAAAATATTGTATTATAGTATCATTTATTTAAGCACATGATATACAGTGTTCTCCACTAATATTGGCACCCTTGGTAAATATAAGCAAAGAAGGCTGTAAAATAATTGTCTTTATTGTTTAACCTTTTGATTTTTTGTTAAAAAAAAACAGAAAAAACTCTGCTCTCATGGACATCAAGCGCAAACACAATACAGGTTTATAAAAAAAATCTTTGATAAATATATGTGTGGCACAATTATTAACACCCATATGAGAGAAAAATATATATTGGAAGTATATTCCCACTGATATTTTAATTTTTTAAGACACCTTTGTGACCAGGAACAGGAAATTGTTCAACCATGACTTCCTGTTTCATAGGGTATCAATGAGGTAACACATAGCCCAAATTCCCCTAGTCATTCATCATAAAGGGTATTACCAAGGAATATAGCTGTGATGCACGGCAAAAGGTTGTTGAGCTTCACAAAACAGGAAGTGGTTATAAGAAAATATCAAAATATTTTAAAATGCTCATTTCCCCCATCAGGGCAATAATTAAGAAGTTCCAGTCAACTAGAAATGCTATGAATCGTCCTGGAAGAGGACATATGTCTATATCGCCTCAATGCACTGTGAAGAGGATTGTTCAACTTTAGCACACACAGAGTTTAGCCATATGGAAAAGTGCCTCATGTCCACAGTTAAATATGGTGATGGCTCTATAATATCTTGGGGCTGTTGTTCTGCAAGAGGACATGGACATTTTGTTAGGATATAGACTCCATCAAATATCAACAGATATTAAATGAAGACCTTACTGCCTCTGCCAGAAAGCTTAAAATGGGCCGTGGTTGGATCGTCCATCAGGACAATAATCCAAAACAGACATCAAAACCAATACAAAAATAGTTTATTCACTACAAAGTCAAGTTCCTGCAATGGCTTATGTTATCCCTTGACTTGAATACCATGGAAAACCTGTGTGATGAACTAAAAAGGAGAGACCATCAGTGTTGACCTCGAAATCTTAAAGATCTGGAGAGCTTCTTCATGGAGAATCTCTCCATATCCCTTGCCATATATCCTACAATCTCATCAGGCATTATAGGAGAGCTATTATCTTGGTAAAGGGAGGTAGCACAAAGTATTGACTAAAACGGTGCCAAAAACTATGCCACACATATGTAGCAAAGATCCTTTTTTAAAATGTAATAAACCTGTGTTGTGTTTGCAATTGTTTGATATATATATTACAGCAGAGCATGTTTGTTTATTTTTAAACAAAATATCAAAAGGTTAAATAAAAAAGATTTTTTTTCCATAGCCTTTTCTGCTAATTTTTACCAAGGGTGCCATTATTAGCGGATAGCACTGTATCCCAAAAACCAATGTTGTCATAAAATTCAGTTGTCAACTGTAGTTATTGCAAACTGTTCAGTAGATATTTGCGACAAAAGATATGGACAGGTTTTGTACCTTTAGGTCATGTTTTGCAGACTACCTCTCAGTTTTCCACCCTTAGAGATGCCCTATGTGTTCTAGATTTTAGCTAATAGCATCTCAAATATAAAGAAGTAAAATTTGCACTTCTCACCATAGCAGGTAGATGTGACTAAGGCTGCATAAACAAAGTGATTTAACTCCTTCATGGCAGAGTACTGAGCAGTGAGACTGTAGATGTATGATCTATACACTAAAACTGCTTCATTAAGCTAAGGTTGTTTTGGTGCCTGTAGTATCCATTTAATTACTTGAAATTCAGTGAAAATAAGTAATGGATTAACAGAAAACTGGAGGTAAGGTTAGGGTACCGAGAGCTCTTACCATCTTGCCTTGGTGTGTAGTGCATGCAGGGAAAAAAGTGAGCATTGAGATGGGGGGGTTGGATAGGGAGACAAAAGATAAAAAAAAATATAAAAAATAAAAAAAACAATAGAAATGATTACAATAATTAATGGCATAGTAGAAAATAACATTGGATATCATGAACAAAAAGAGAATTAAGAATACAATAAGATAGTATAAAAAAAAAAAATCTGCTATTATTGTCTATGGGAAATATTAAAAGTCTTGTCAATTACCAGTCACAATTGATATGATTTTGAAGCATGAAAACAGCTGCTAGTCACAACTGAGGGAGTCCACTAATAGGCACACCCATGCTGCCGCTGGCGTCCGATCGCTGTGGCGCCATGCCACTATGATTGAATGGCAGCGCTCAGACACCTGGAAAGATGCTCTTTCTAACACTGATTGCCACAGATGTGCCTTGCCTCATGGATTGGCCAGAGATCATCACTAGTGATGATCTTATATTTGCAAAGCGGAACTATAATGACAAGCCATTCTCAACACTAGATTAGATATAGGTCATTCATTCATTTCAAGAAAGGCTGGTATACCCTAGTTGGCTGAAATCATTTTTCAAAAAATCAATCACTTGTTACCTACAACACAAGTGAGTAGCACCATGAGACACTATCTATGCATAAAAAATGTAAAACAATATGGGGGGAAGGGGGATAAACTGAAATGAAGTGACCATTTAAAAGAATTCTCACACACTTTGGTCTGCTCAAGATTGGTTGCTTTTCAAGTCGGCTTGAATTTGTAACTTTTTTCCACATACTTTGCTACAAGTTAATGACACAGGTATTGATAATGTTTTATACATAGGTTTAATCATAAATGTGTTTTGCATCCATAGTTTTATTACATTTAAAAAATCTTGTCAAACCTCACAAAATATAATTTCTGTTGTTATCATGTCCCCAATCACTCTGAACTTTTGAAATTAGTCCCGACTACAACATAAAACACACATGACATAATTGCTGATGAATTTATAATTGCCGGTGTTCTGACATTTCAACTAGTGTCCCAGCTGAGTCATTGTTAGATATTCATTAAAGTAAATCACCCTGTCTATCATCTTTATTTGTACCAAACAGCTTTAATCCATGCTGCAATATTATACTGTTTCAACTCTGAAGTTTAACCCTTAAACTATCATGTTTTGTTTTTTGTGTGTTTTTTTTTTAAAACAAAACTACTTAAGCATATCATATAAACATAAGACACTTAGTGAAGCTTATGAAGTTACCCATCAAGATGAACGGGAAAGAAAGGGTTCCCTATGGCAATGATAATAAAGATGTGGAATTTTCTACCTAAAGAGGTTTTTATTGTAGTTAAAAATGTTATTAAACTCCTTTTTATTGGAACATAGAATCAAGTTACCAGTAAATATAACATGGAATTGTAAAGTCTAACGCCTGTGAAGGTTTGAAAAAAAAGGGAGAGAGGAGAAAAAGACAATGAGAAAATTTAAAAAAACATTGTGGCTTAAAGGAGAACTATAGTGCCAGGAAAACAAACTTGTTTTCCTGGCACTATAGGGTTATTAGGTCCCCCCCTCCCTCAGGGCCCCCCTCCCGCTGGACTGAAGGGGTTGAAACCCCTTCAGCCACTCAACTTCATCCAGCGCCGGGCTCCCTTGGCGCTGGTGACCTCTCCTCCCTCTGCCGTTGTCAGCTCCGAATGCACATGCGTGACCAGAGCCGCACGCGCATTCAAACCATTCAAACGCATTACTCAATGCTTTCCTATGGACATCCAGCATGTCCTCAATGCGAATTTCGCATAGAGGCTGGATTAACCCTTAATGTAAACATAGCAGTTTCTCTGAAACTGCTATGTTTACAGCTGCAGGGTTAAAACTAGGGGGACCTGGCACCCAGACCACTTCATTGAGCTGAAGTGGTCTGGGTGCTATAGTGGTCCTTTAACCATGATCCCCTACATGTGAAGGTGACATGGAGACTAGTGGGTCCGACTAGGCTTCCCAAAATACATTCAAAGAAATCTACTGCACCAATTACTCACAATGACAATGTTAATAATAAATCCCAGAGGAGCAAAAATGTCCAATGAAGGTGATTTAAAGGACCACTATAGGCCCCCAGACCACTTCAGCTTAATGAAGTGGTCTGGGTGCCAAGTCCATCTAGGATTAACCCTGCCTGCTGTAAACATAGCAGTTTCATAGAAACTGCTATGTTTACATATGGGTTAATCCAGCCTCTAGTGGCTGTCTCATTGACAACCAGTAGAGGCGCTTCCGCGCTTCTCACTGTGTATTTTAACAGTGAGAAGACTCCAGCGTCCATAGGAAAGCATTGAGAATGCTTTCCTATGGACTGACAGAATGCATGCGCGCGCGCGTCAGGGGCTTTACACATGCCGTCTTTTTATTAGATGATGACAGCAACTCTAATTGTCTTCTTTTTACACAGTTTACTTTCTAGCCGGGTTAGACTTAGGTGCCCTCGAAGGCACGGGAGGTGTATTGGCAGTGATAGTGCAGCTAGCTATTTACAACATTCTTTACATTTCCGTCCTCATTATCTTGACAGCATAGGCCAGTTACTACTTTAGTACCCTCGTAGGTATAGAGGCAAGTCACTAGCGTGTTGCTTATTTCTACTAGCACCATATTCTCGGTTTTATTATCCTCATATTATTGGCTACCAGTCAAGTACTGTCTTATCTGTCCAACTCTCTTTTTTGGTGCTTTCTATTAGAATTACAGCACGCCATTAGATCACTCATTATCAGTGGCACAGATTAAGATCTGCTATTCTATCACTTCAGCGTTCTTCATAGTATTTGGCTTGGTTAACATTATACATTACTTACATGTCAATTACTATATATTGAAACTTCCAACAGTATACAGCATTCATATGCTTACAGGCTCTACTGGTATATATGTACCTGCGATCTCCATCCCGATAAATCGCAGACAGCTCTTTGAGCCAATTGCCTAGCATACTAGTCAAGTATAGCCTCTATCTGTTATACTCTTTGTTACTGCTTCTTATTAGAATTACAGCACGCTACTAGATCCTCTATTACCAGTGGCACAGATTTAGAGCCGCTATTTATACACTTGCAGGCTCCATTACTATACATGTAGAACTGTGTCATTATCATTAGGCATTACACACATTATGCTTATCTAACAATTATATGTTAGGACCTGCGGTCTCCATCTTGACAATCGCAGACTGTTCTTTGAGCCATTTGTCCGGTATACTTTCTGCACCTAGACCACTCTTTTACATTCCATCACTCTCCCACAATTATGACTATTACCAGCTAAACGTCTTTCCCAAGCAGCACAGACGTGTCCTGTCGCTTATTACTCCTATACCATTCAAGAGATTAGAGTCTATTCAAGTTAATTAACATTGTATCTTTTTTTGTTTTTAGTGATTTTTTTTGATTTAGCACTTTTGGGTTGTTGTTATTATTTTTTCGATACTATTTAGTACACAATAAATTTTTTCTTGTTTTTTGACCTTTTTGTCTCTTTACTTGTGCCTCTTATCTTCATATTCCTTATGGTTATTATGTAGTACAGGCATACGCTATTTTCTCCCAGTTTTTAGGTACACTACTCTCAAGTTTACTGATCATCTGTGAATAAACTTAGATCACACTCAAACCCTCACCACCTCCAACTGCTTAATATCCAAAAATGTTTCTTAGCATTTTAGCTAAGGGTTCTGCAGACATTCCAAATAAAATCAATGTCTGTGAACATCTTGGTGGATGCTACCACATATTGCAAATGTACAAGTTATGGCTTATCTCCCTTATCTACTCTTGTCCTAGGATTGGGATAGAGCTCCTAATTCCCCATTAAAAAGCTGTCTCTAAGACCCACTACTTCCAATGTCTCACACAGATATTGCCAGTCTCCTCCGTCAAGGGCTTATTATGCGTCCAATAATAAAAACATAACTTGCAGTCCTGTTGTCCTGACTGAGTGGACTGTATTAATGGTTCTAAACAGAATTACGAGACAGAGAAATATTTCCTGTTTTCCATCGATCCTACATAATAATGCTGAAATTCAGACAAAATCTGTTTAGGGTTTATTTTTTTATTTTTGGACCACTGGACTGGTTGTAAACATTTATTTTAGATTTTTTTTTAAATTCTTTATTTTTGACAGTGCAGCAGGGAGTATACAAATTGCAGCGGTATACACAGATATATTTCCGTAATAGACAATTGGCAAGCATAAAAGGTCATGCATACTGCACTGTTGTATTTAATTTAAAGGCGAAGTATACATAGAATACATCAATTATATGGCAGTCTTGTAAACATTTTTGTGATAAAAATAGTTAAGTCGACCCCTCACCTCCATTAACTGATAGCTATGGACCAGCAGAAGCCGTATGGAATTATTTGAGATCCCTCACCCACATCAACAGCTATCATGTGGTTTGACCACATGATTTTCTGCATGTTAGGATAAGACAGACCCTGGACAAAGTGTTGATAGAATAAAACATAATCCAATATTGAATCCATATAATTAGGGAATAAATACAATCTATTTCCCCTTATTCTACAGTGGATAAATCTCAAAGTATCAAATATATTTAGAAACATAAACATTGTTTCATGGGTTTGTAGTTGGAAGGAGAGTAACCAGACTGAGACAGATATATCCAAGTAAGGGTCTTATTTAGGTCCTTAACAAAAACCAGATTATGGGTGGGGAGAGCTGCAAACCAGGTCTCCAAATAGATTAAAAAGGTTGAATCATATATATACCCCAAATACCCTTCACTATCTGTAAAGGTTGTGATGGGGCAAAGTGTACTCTATAGTGAAGCATATTATAAATATGTTCTTCTTGGTTGGAAATTAAAAATTGTAAAACTAAATAAAATAAAATAGCCAGATTGGTGAACCTAAATCGAAAAATCAACTAAGATGTTCAACTTCTTAAAGGACCACTATAGTGCCAGGAAAACATACTTGTTTTCCTGGCACTATAGTGCCCTGAGGGTGCCCCCACCCTCAGGGTCCCCCTCCCGCCCAGCTCTGGAAGGGGGAAAGGTGTTAAAACTTACCTTTTTCTAGTGCTGGGCGGAGAGCTCTCCTCCTCCGATCCTCCTCTTCTCCTCCCCGTCGGCTGAATGCGCACGCGCGGCAAGAGCTGCGCACGCATTCAGCCGGTCACATAGGAAAGCATTCATAATGCTTTCCTATGGACGCTGGCGTGCTCCCACTGTGAAAATCACAATGAGAAGCACGCAAGCGCCTCTAGTGGCTGTCAATGAGACAGCCGCTAGAGGCTTTGGGGGAAGGCTTAACCCATTCATAAACATAGCAGTTTCTCTGAAACTGCTATGTTTATGAAAAAAATGGGCTAACCCTAGAGGGACCAGGCACCCAGACCACTTCATTAAGCTGAAGTGGTCTGGGTGCCTAGAGTGGTCCTTTAAGGCATCTCCACCAGCTTTGGACAAAGACTTATAATAAATAAATAAAACAATAATAAAAAGTAGAAGGAAAGAAAGCAGAAAGAGAAATAACACCTCATAAGAAATAGAAAAAATATCCTGCAATCAGCAAAACTTAACTTCATGTAAATTGGCACCACTTCAAAACAGACAAATGCACTATATAATCTGAGAATGTGCTATTTTTATTATAAATTGAATTACCCAAAAATTTAAATAAAAGAAAAAAAGAAAAAAAGAATTTACAGTTTCCCATTTGCGTTTTTTTATTACTTAAAAAAAATCTTGTCAAATAAACTTAACATTCTGCCATTATCACGTCCCCAGCCACATTGTAATTTCTAAATTAATCCTGACGACAATGTAACACAAACATGACATAATTGCCGATTAATTCATAATTGCTGGTTTTCTGACATTTCAGACTAGTGTCCCTGCTGGGGCATTGTTAGATATTCATTAAAGCAAATGGCTATGTCTATTTATCATTTTTATTTGTAGCAAATAACTTGAATCCATGCTGCAGTGATATTTTGCATCAACCCTGCAGAGGTTTTTAACCCTGTCACTGTCTAAATTTTATTGTAGGAAAAATAAATCACAGTGTTTATTTGAAACATATAATGCATTCCTGGAACATGAAGTTGGGTCAAAACATGAATGTGTAATATATGCTGTTCAGAGAAACTAATTATAATTATTTAAAATTCTGAATTTTTCCCTCATTCATTCTTTGCAGAAAATAATGGAGAGTTGTGAGAATGTTTAAAAATATTATAAATTATTCATTAACTTAAACAACAGAAACCAGCTTAGACTGGCACGTAGAAAATGTTTGATACACAATTTGCTATAACATATTTTTGAGAGAAAAAAGTAAAACTAATTATTATATACAAATGGGTAATTTGTACAATATGCAGAAAACAATTCTAAAAAAATACAAACATAGGCCTCAATTTAATTATTTTGCAAAATCTTTTTAAATTAACACAATCTGCTAGATTGTTAGAAAAATGTTTCAAATGATCCATCTACAGAAGCCTGTAAGTATATGGAAATTTTTCAAGATAAATCATTTGAAAAGTTTTTTTCTAACAGATTGTGGTCATTTGAAAACTTTATTACATTAAATTGAGGATAATACTAGGTGTGCCACAGAATTCCTGTGTTCATCAAAGGGAAATTAAGATCTATCATCACTAATTTACCAACAGCGAGATTGCCCTTGTTATCAATTAATCAATTTGAAGACAATAAGTGCCAGGAATACAAAGCTGGCACTTAAGCACCTTCTGCCTAAACCCTTCTTTGTGCCCCCTCCCCCACCTGTGTGAATAAAGAGTTAAAAACCCTTTATTAACTTGCCTGATCCCAGCACCAATGTTCTTTTAAGTTGGATTGTTGCTCAGCCTCCACCGACGTCCCCAACGAGCGGGTGCTAATGCACATGCGCTGCAAATACCGCACTGAATCAATGCTTTTCTACGGGGAAAAATCTGATGCTGGATGTCCTTATGTAGAGCATTAGGATGTCCCGGACCAAAGGTGCGATCTGGAACTGCAATGTTTAACATTGCAGCACTAAGTGCAATAGGGACACTGTACCCAGACCACTTCAATGTGCTGAAGTGGCCTTGGTGCCTATAGTGTCCCTTAAACGGTAGCTAGTAAAATAACGACAGGGTTGGAATCAATTATGAAGTTATATCCACAGAGACTAATGGAAGCTGATAGTGACTGGCTTTTTATAACAGTTGCCAGTAACTTTCTGTTGCTACTTGTAAAACTGGCAGCTGTTAAACAGTTACTACTTGCTAAAAGTAGAAACAGTTATGATAGTGGCCCGTCAGTAGAAAGTAGTAAATTTATGGAGATATGCCAGCCCTATATCTTTCTCTGTATACTATGCTTAGTCTATATACTATATACCATTCCCCATTGCTGTTTCTATGTTTCTCCATGGAAATTTCACCATGAGCATTTTCTATGCTTGTATACCTAATTGTGTAATGACTAATTGTAATTGTACTAATGTCATTTTCGGGGAGCTAACTTTTTTTGTTATCAGCCTCTAAGAAATTGAGCTGTATAGTATGTAACCATAATGGCCTTCTATAGAAAATACATTTGCCATTGTAGCCTTATAATGTCCTGTAGCAAGTGAATCCATCTTTTCATGCTCTGTACAACTACTATTCAACATCACTAAATAACTTGAGATGTGCAGGCTCCTGTGCACTGTATGAAGTGGTGCCACTACATCTTCCAGCTAAGAACTGTAATCATTTATGACTAAAATCCTGACACAAAAGAATAATATTATTTCCATCAACATAAAGTATAGCTGAAATAACCATGCAATACGCTATAAGATTCAGAAGGTTACAACTGCTGCTTAATAGGGAACCCACTACCTGTTTATCATGAAATAATAAACATACAAGGTAAGCTGCATTAAAAATATCACAGTCAGAAAGTACACGTAGTTCCAAATTATCTAAGAGGTATGTAGTATTATAAATACACGAAAATCAATTAAACAAAATAGTTCAACAAATAATTCCAAGAAAATAAAATAGATACCTTAACAGAACACAGTCTAATCAGTGTCCATTGAGGATGATCATATCCCTTCAATTATATCTCTCACACATGCAGGGCCGGACTGGGGATACAAAGCAGCCCTGGAAAAAAAATCCATGCCAGCCCCATAAGTCATTGCGCCATATATTGTCGCATGTAATATGTAAGGCTATGTCTTGCCACCCCAGATGAGATATATATATATATATTTATTGCTTTTTCTAATATAAAATATTTTCAGAGTAAAATGTTTAATTATACAGTAAGCATACTCACATGCAGACACAGACAATCTCACTGACACACACAAGCTCATTGATACACAGCCTCATAGACAAACAATCTCACTGATATACAGAAGCTCATTGACTTAAAAACACAAGCTCACTCACTAGTAGGCACACACACACACACATGCAAGCAAGCCCACTCACTAGCAGGAGCACACACACACAGCTTAATGTGTGCCTAATGACAGACACACACACCATGACACAGACAGACCA